CTCCCCTCCCCTCCACAACCCTTTCTGTCACCCAGCAGATCCCTGTACCAGGCTCTGCCAGCCCTGCCCAAGCACCTTGTCTGTCTTTCGAGGCCAGGCCTCCGGCCCGTGCAGCGCCCCGTGCGCCCCGTGCCCCAGCCTCTCCGGAGGCCGCGTGTCCCTGTGTGGGGTCTGACACTGAGCCCCCAGCTCTGGCCAGGCCGCAGGGACGCTGGACGCAGGGCAGGCCCGGGGCTCTACCCGGTCTCCCTGCCTCGGCCCCTGGGAGGGCAGGGGCAGCACACTGGCCATGGAGGCCTTGACCAGCTTGGGTGTCTGAGGGCCCTGGGTGTTTTCTGGAACTGTTGGGAGGGTGGAGGAGGCACCCTGTGCTGGGCCTGGGACTCCCCGGGGTGCACGGCTCCTGCCCGTGTTCCTCCTTGAGGGGTGGCGGTCATCACCGAGGGCGGGCAGTGCTCTGGGCACCTGGCCCTGGCCCAGAGCCAGTGTTGGGTACAGTCCCTGCCCAGAGTGCCCGAGGCTGGCCAGTGTGGGTCTCAGGGGTGAGGCTGCAGCCCCGGCGGTGTGAGGCGGTGGGGGGGCGTGTGGTCATACATTAGTCAGCCCCAGGGTACTTGTCAAGAAGGCTCCAGGGAGCAGGTGCTGCAACGTGGCCCCGTATCCGGGAGAGGAGCAGAGGCTTGCAGTCCCCAGCACCCCCCCCGACCGCCCTGGAGGACCCTCCCAGGCCCCCCCCCCCGGGCACTTCAGAGGCTCTTGGGACATGGGAGCCCTGGCCAGGGCCACTTCCTCCAGGAAGCCCAAGCTCCCCGGGGCAGAGGAGCAGCAGGCTGCCCCCAGCAGCCACCTCAGGAAGGGTCACGGGTTCGGAGCTGGCCTCGAGGGCCAGGCTAGGATGGGCAGGATCTTTGCACTACGCGCCCTGTACTGTGCTGGGAGCTCCCTGTCTGAAAGGGGCCCAGGATGCTTCCTTCTCCTAATTGCTGTGCTTCAGTGTCTCTCTGTTTGAGCGTGGACTGCCCCTCCCTGTTAGCTGGATGGGGGTCTGTCCTGGGGCCACGGCTGCACCAGGTAGAGAACGTATTGTCACCAGGAGTGGCTGTGGTGGAGGGGTCCAGCGTCACCCTCGGGTTCCGGCAGGTGGGAGGGCCGCCGGCGGGGGCTCCGTGTGCAGGGGTACGTCCGGGCCCTGAGGCTGTGGAGCACGGAGCTCGAGGGCCTGGGCTTTGGCCGCCCACTGTTACCCAGGTGGTGCTGGACCTGTGCTGCCTGCCTGTAACCAGATGCCCCTGTGGCGATTGCCAGCCAGGATGCTCCTCCTCCCAGCAGCTCGTGCACTGCCGTTGCTATAGCAACGGGGAGGCAGCCTGGCCTGCCCTGCAGTCAGGGGAGGAGGTGCCCCGTGGCAGGGCAGGCGTGGGCGGGGCTGGCTCCTGGACCCTCACCCCTGTCTCCGGCTGCCCGCTCCCTCCGTGTGCTGCGCAGGCCTGTCCCACAGCCCTGGGTGCACACGCACCTCCTCAGCTAGCCCTGGACTCCATCCTGGCTGGACAGGGGGTGGAGGCTGGCACGGGCTGGGGCAGGCGTGGGGTGTGGACACAGCATGGTGTTCCAGATCACAGAGCGCTATTGTCAGCACAGCAGGCACAATCAGGGCCAGGCTGGGCCTGGCCCCACAGCCCTGCTTAGGGGGCTCCCATGTTGGCTTCCGGTGGGGGTGAGGGGATAGAGGCCTGGTGCCTCAGAGCTGGGGATGGGCGCCGGCCTCGGGCAGGGGCCCTCTGTCCTGTGGATTCGGAGGGCTGGTCTGCTGGGGCTCCCCCAGAGCTCTCCTGGCCCTTCCCCTCCCTAGGGGGCAGGGAGGGGGGAGGACTTGTGGACTCATTCATTTTCCAGGTGAAAAGGCCCTGGGGTCTCCACTTCCCACTCAGCTGATCACTCAGGGCTTACCTGAGGAAGAGAGGCCAGGGCAGAGCAGGGTACCATTGCCCAGGGACTGTGCACGTCAGAGTTGGGCCAGGTTGCCCAAGGCCCTTGCAGGGTGCAGACATGGCCTCCATGGTCCCCAGGTCCTGGGCAGCCCTGCCACAGAGGGAGAGGTAAAGCAGGCAGGTGCGTGGGACAGGGTGGAAGACCCGCTGGTCAGTTGTCCCGGCCTCCTTGGTGGGCCAGTGACTCCAGGAAGGGCAAGTAGAATCTCAGCTGGAGACTAGAGACCAGGTTTGGTGATGGCTGACACTGCTTTTGCTCCTGGTGCCTGGGGTGGAGCCAAAACCTGGGCCTGGACTTGATCAGGCCCTGGGGAACCTGTGCTGAGCTTCCCTAGTCCCTGGGAAGTTATGTGGCCCTTGCCGAGCCCGGGAGGGACTCGGCCCCAGCACAGCCAGGTGGGCAGCGGGGAAGCCCTGCCCCCGCACAGGTGGCCTCACGTGGACCGCCCTTTCCAGTGGGTCCTGGCCTTCGAGATCTTCATCCCGCTGGTTCTCTTCTTCATCCTCCTGGGGCTGCGGCAAAAGAAACCCACCATTTCAGTGAAGGAAGGTGAGGCGCAGGTGTGGGTGGGGGCCAGCAGGCGGGTGGTGAGGGGCAGGCGCGTGTGCTGGGTGTGCACGGCCAGCGGGCGTGTCCTCTGCTCCAGGATGCCTGAGACCGTGGCGCAGTGCCTGTTCCCTGGGCGGCCCCGCCACGTCTCCCAGCAGGTCTGTGGAGGTCATGGTGGTAGCCACCAGTGACGATAGAGCCCGACCCCGTGGGCTCTGGTACTCACTGGTCTCCTCTGTTCTGTTTTGACCCGTCCCCACCCGCATGGTCTCTTGTCCTCCTCGGCCGGCCCGCATGCAGTCTGTAAGTGAGCGGCCGCCTTCTTGCTGCCCAGGCGGCAGCCGTGGGATGGCCTGGCGGGTCCTCCTGGTGTGGCTTGGACCCCCTCTGCTTGCACTAACAGCCTGCCCTCCATGGCCAGGTCCTCAGAACCCCCAGCCTGCGGGCAGAAACAGCTGGCTCAGGACGGGAGTGGGGCCACGATGGGGAGGGTTGGTGCAATGGGGCCGGGCTGCGTGGGCCAGCTCACACACCGGCCAAGCCAGCGGGACACCTCCTCACCAGGGTGTCTGTTGGGTCACCTGGCCATGAGTTCTAAGGGTAGAGTGCCTGAGCTAGCTAAATGCCTGTGGGTCCCTGCACTCACTCTGCTAACAGCCGGCCTGAGAGGTCAGAGGTCACTGTCCAGTGGAGGCCTCCTGTTCCCCTGGGTGATCCGGCACAGTGCTGCACCTGCGGTTCTATCCTGGGGGCGGGGCCTCTGGCCTGCTCTGGGAGCTGCAGGACCTCTGACCTGCAGTGCCATTCGCGCTGGAACTCTTAGCCTTCACACAGCTGGGGCCGGGCGCTCTGTCTCCCACCTGAAGGTGCTTTTCCTTTCTAACTGGGCCTTACACATGCGCTCTCCGCTTCTGTCTCCCTCCCCATTCTCGACCGCTCTCCCTGCCCAGCCTTCTACACAGCGGCACCCCTGACGTCTGCCGGCATCCTGCCCGTCATGCAGTCGCTGTGTCCTGATGGCCAGCGGGACGAGTTTGGATTCCTGCAGTATGCCAACTCCACGTGAGTGCCCAGCTCCCTGCCCTCCCCAGCGCCTGCCGTCCTCCCCAGCCCCCTGCCCCTCCGCGGTGCCTGCCGTCCTCCCCAGCCCCCTGCCCTCCTCAGCGCCCGCCATCCTCCCCAGCCCCCTGCTCTCCTCAGCGCCCGCCATCCTCCCCAGCTCCCTGCCCTCCTCAGCGCCCGCCGTCCTCCCCAGCCCCCACCCTCCCCAGCACGCCCGCTGTCCCCTCCATCCTGAGGTGACCCCCTGGTGATGCAGGGCTCCCCAGCCCCCTGCCCCTCCGCAGCGCCCGCTGCCCCCTCCATCCTGAGGTGACCCCCTGGTGATGCAGGGTCACCCAGCTGCTGGAACGCCTCAACCGTGTGGTAGAAGAGGGCAACTTGTTTGACCCAGCACGGCCCAACCTGGGCTTGGAGCTGGAGGCCCTGCGCCAGCACCTGGAGGCCCTCAGCTCGGACCCAGGCACCTGGGGGAGCCCTCCGGACCGATCTGCAGGTGCGCCCTGTGGGGGGAGGGGAGGGCCCGAGCTCTGCGGGCAGAGTTTCTGCCCCCGGCTCCCTGCCACTCATGGTGCTGAACCCCCACCTGCGAGCTGGGGGCAGGCCCAGCCCAGCTGCCTGCCACCGCTGCCAAGCTGTGGCTCTGGGGCACATCCACTAGGGGGAGCCAGCGCTCAGTCCTGTCCTGTCCTGTCCTGCTTGTGCAGTGGCCTCCTTCTCTCTGGACTCGGTGGCCAGAGACCCACGGGAGCTCGGACGTTTCCTCATGCAGAATCTGTCGCTGCCTAACGGCACGGCCCAGGCCCTCCTGGCCGCCCGCGTGGACCCTTCTGAGGTGAGATGGGTCCGTGCCAGGATGCATGGCCGCGCCCTGTGCGCTCATGGCCCCTCCCCTCAGCCCCGGTCAGGGAGGGGCTGTGATGTCAGCCCTGGCTCCGGAGCCCGTGCCCGAGCTGTGCCCCCCGCTCCCCAGGTCTACCGTCTGCTCTTCGGCCCTTTACCCGTACTGGACGGGGAGTCCTATTTCCTCAGGGGCCGGGAGCCCTGGAGCCACCCGGGCAGCGAACCCTTGTTCCGGATGGAGGTGAGGGCCCTGCCGGGGGGTGCCGCCTGCCTCAGTGGGAGCTGCGGCCTCTGGGTAATTTGTGGCAGGCGTGGGGAGCGGGGGAGGAAGGCGAGGTGAATGCCGTGGAAGCCAGGCGGCCCCCACCCTGGCCCCATGTTTGGCCAAGTCCTCAGTCATCTCTTGGCTGGAACGGAGTTCCTGTGCGGCCCCAGCTGCCCCATCTCCCCCACAGGAGCTGCTGCTGGCTCCTGCCCGTTTGGAGCGGCTCACTTGTGCCCTGGGCTCTGGGGGGCTGGACCGGATCCTTGCTATGCCAGAGGGGCGGCAGACGGCCCTGCAGGGCTATCGAGACGTGGTCTGCAGCGGGCAGGCCGGCACCCGTGCCCAGCGCTTCACAGAGCTGGCTGCAGTGCTCCGGAACCAGCTGGACGTGGCCAAGATTGCTCAGCAGGTGAGGCCTGCCTGCAGCTGGCCCGCAGGTCTTCCAACTGGCTGGACACACCGGGGCTTCCTGGTGCCCTTGGGGGAGGCCCGGTCCCAGGCTGCTGGGGGAGGGCCCCACGGGCCATCTCATGCCTCCAGCCATGCCTTGGAGACCTGCCTGTCCCCCACTGGAGTCTGGTTTTCCAGTTCCCAGCCAGCAGTCCCCTTCCTCCAGGCCAAAGGCCTTTTAGCTCTCCTTCCCACAGCCCGCACTCATTTCCTGAGCCCCTCTGAACTCAGTCCCCCACAGAGTCGCCCCACCAGTTCCCCTCCAGCCTGCCCTGTCCCACACACCCGTCTCCCCTCAGCTGGGCTTGGATGCCCCCAACAGCTCAGACTCCCAGCCGCGGGCACCATCCCCACGGGGCCTGCAGGCTCTCCTGGGGGACCTGCTGGACGCACAGAAGGTTCTGCAGGATGTGGACGTCCTGTCCGCCCTGGCTCTGCTGCTGCCCCAGGGCGCCTGCACTGGCCGCACCCCGGCGCCTCCCGCGAGCAGCCGCGGTGGGGTGGCCAACGGCACTGGGCCGGGGCCTGGCACCGGCTCCAACATCACTGCCGAGGACAGCACCCAGGCCGCGGCAGCCCCCGTCACCCCGGATACGCTTCAAGGCCAGTGCTCGGCCTTCGTGCAGCTCTGGGCTGGCCTGCAGCCCATCTTATGTGGCAACAACCGGTAGGTTGGCCGTAGGGGAGCAAAGAGTCAGTGGCAAGGGCACATGGGAGAGGGAAACAGCTGGCTCAGGACGGGAGTGGGGCCACGATGGGGAGGGTTGGTGCAATGGGGCCGGGCTGCGTGGGCCAGCTCACACACCGGCCAAGCCAGCGGGACACCTCCTCACCAGGGTGTCTGTTGGGTCACCTGGCCATGAGTTCTAAGGGTAGAGTGCCTGAGCTAGCTAAATGCCTGTGGGTCCCTGCACTCACTCTGCTAACAGCCGGCCTGAGAGGTCAGAGGTCACTGTCCAGTGGAGGCCTCCTGTTCCCCTGGGTGATCCGGCACAGTGCTGCACCTGCGGTTCTATCCTGGGGGCGGGGCCTCTGGCCTGCTCTGGGAGCTGCAGGACCTCTGACCTGCAGTGCCATTCGCGCTGGAACTCTTAGCCTTCACACAGCTGGGGCCGGGCGCTCTGTCTCCCACCTGAAGGTGCTTTTCCTTTCTAACTGGGCCTTACACATGCGCTCTCCGCTTCTGTCTCCCTCCCCATTCTCGACCGCTCTCCCTGCCCAGCCTTCTACACAGCGGCACCCCTGACGTCTGCCGGCATCCTGCCCGTCATGCAGTCGCTGTGTCCTGATGGCCAGCGGGACGAGTTTGGATTCCTGCAGTATGCCAACTCCACGTGAGTGCCCAGCTCCCTGCCCTCCCCAGCGCCTGCCGTCCTCCTCAGCCCCCTGCCCCTCCTCAGCGCCCGCTGTCCTCCCCAGCTCCCTGCCCTCCTCAGCGCCCGCCGTCCTCCCCAGCCCCCTGCCCCTCCGCAGCGCCCGCTGCCCCCTCCATCCTGAGGTGACCCCCTGGTGATGCAGGGTCACCCAGCTGCTGGAACGCCTCAACCGTGTGGTAGAAGAGGGCAACTTGTTTGACCCAGCACGGCCCAACCTGGGCTTGGAGCTGGAGGCCCTGCGCCAGCACCTGGAGGCCCTCAGCTCGGACCCAGGCACCTGGGGGAGCCCTCCGGACCGATCTGCAGGTGCGCCCTGTGGGGGGAGGGGAGGGCCCGAGCTCTGCGGGCAGAGTTTCTGCCCCCGGCTCCCTGCCACTCATGGTGCTGAACCCCCACCTGCGAGCTGGGGGCAGGCCCAGCCCAGCTGCCTGCCACCGCTGCCAAGCTGTGGCTCTGGGGCACATCCACTAGGGGGAGCCAGCGCTCAGTCCTGTCCTGTCCTGTCCTGCTTGTGCAGTGGCCTCCTTCTCTCTGGACTCGGTGGCCAGAGACCCACGGGAGCTCGGACGTTTCCTCATGCAGAATCTGTCGCTGCCTAACGGCACGGCCCAGGCCCTCCTGGCCGCCCGCGTGGACCCTTCTGAGGTGAGATGGGTCCGTGCCAGGATGCATGGCCGCGCCCTGTGCGCTCATGGCCCCTCCCCTCAGCCCCGGTCAGGGAGGGGCTGTGATGTCAGCCCTGGCTCCGGAGCCCGTGCCCGAGCTGTGCCCCCCGCTCCCCAGGTCTACCGTCTGCTCTTCGGCCCTTTACCCGTACTGGACGGGGAGTCCTATTTCCTCAGGGGCCGGGAGCCCTGGAGCCACCCGGGCAGCGAACCCTTGTTCCGGATGGAGGTGAGGGCCCTGCCGGGGGGTGCCGCCTGCCTCAGTGGGAGCTGCGGCCTCTGGGTAATTTGTGGCAGGCGTGGGGAGCGGGGGAGGAAGGCGAGGTGAATGCCGTGGAAGCCAGGCGGCCCCCACCCTGGCCCCATGTTTGGCCAAGTCCTCAGTCATCTCTTGGCTGGAACGGAGTTCCTGTGCGGCCCCAGCTGCCCCATCTCCCCCACAGGAGCTGCTGCTGGCTCCTGCCCGTTTGGAGCGGCTCACTTGTGCCCTGGGCTCTGGGGGGCTGGACCGGATCCTTGCTATGCCAGAGGGGCGGCAGACGGCCCTGCAGGGCTATCGAGACGTGGTCTGCAGCGGGCAGGCCGGCACCCGTGCCCAGCGCTTCACAGAGCTGGCTGCAGTGCTCCGGAACCAGCTGGACGTGGCCAAGATTGCTCAGCAGGTGAGGCCTGCCTGCAGCTGGCCCGCAGGTCTTCCAACTGGCTGGACACACCGGGGCTTCCTGGTGCCCTTGGGGGAGGCCCGGTCCCAGGCTGCTGGGGGAGGGCCCCACGGGCCATCTCATGCCTCCAGCCATGCCTTGGAGACCTGCCTGTCCCCCACTGGAGTCTGGTTTTCCAGTTCCCAGCCAGCAGTCCCCTTCCTCCAGGCCAAAGGCCTTTTAGCTCTCCTTCCCACAGCCCGCACTCATTTCCTGAGCCCCTCTGAACTCAGTCCCCCACAGAGTCGCCCCACCAGTTCCCCTCCAGCCTGCCCTGTCCCACACACCCGTCTCCCCTCAGCTGGGCTTGGATGCCCCCAACAGCTCAGACTCCCAGCCGCGGGCACCATCCCCACGGGGCCTGCAGGCTCTCCTGGGGGACCTGCTGGACGCACAGAAGGTTCTGCAGGATGTGGACGTCCTGTCCGCCCTGGCTCTGCTGCTGCCCCAGGGCGCCTGCACTGGCCGCACCCCGGCGCCTCCCGCGAGCAGCCGCGGTGGGGTGGCCAACGGCACTGGGCCGGGGCCTGGCACCGGCTCCAACATCACTGCCGAGGACAGCACCCAGGCCGCGGCAGCCCCCGTCACCCCGGATACGCTTCAAGGCCAGTGCTCGGCCTTCGTGCAGCTCTGGGCTGGCCTGCAGCCCATCTTATGTGGCAACAACCGGTAGGTTGGCCGTAGGGGAGCAAAGAGTCAGTGGCAAGGGCACATGGGAGAGGGAAAAGGGGGGGACGGCACCTGACCCCACGTGTGTGAATACCACACCTGGCGCCCACTCCACGTCCAGTGTCCTCTGCCTCCCCTCCTCCCTCCCCCTGCACGCCACTGAGCTCAGTCTTGTCTCTGCCCTTGCCCCAGCACCATTGAGCCAGAGGCACTGCGGAGGGGCAACATGAGCTCCCTGGGCTTCACGAGCAAGGAGCAGCGGAACCTGGGCCTGCTCGTGCACCTCATGACCAGCAACCCCAAAATCCTCTACGCGCCAGCTGGCTCCGAGGCTGACCGCGTCATCCTCAAGGTGAGGGGCCCGAGCCGTGCCTTCCCTGCAGACGCGTGAGCAAGGGCTGGAGGAGGGAGGGCAGTGTTGGTAGAGGAGGGGTGTGTGTGGCGGAGACAGCGGCTGAGGAGCATCAGGGCCCAGGCACAGGCCTTGCTTACAACAGCTGAAAATGGCTGGAAAGGCTGGTCACAGATGGGTCTTAAGAGCAGAAGGCCCTCACCTGGGGCCCGATGTCAGGGTACACCCTGGGAGAGTCTGAGGGGGGAACTGGGAAGGCACAGCTGCTGAGTGAAGTAAGGCTGCCGGGCTGAGCTCCGGGTGGGTGCTGGGGATGGGGGCGCAGAGAAGCGTGGCCAGGGCAGGGTTGGCAGTTGCTGGGGAAGAACCAATGGCTTCCGAAGGTGAGGGAGCAGAGAATGCCCACCCAGGATGGGGCACTTGCTTGTTCCGCATGCCCCAAGCCCTTCTTCTCTGCAGGCCAACGAGACTTTTGCCTTTGTGGGCAATGTGACCCACTATGCCCAGGTCTGGCTCAACATCTCTGCGGAGATCCGCAGCTTCCTGGAGCAGGGCAGGCTGCAGCAGCACCTGCACTGGCTACAGCAGGTACTGCGGGCCCGGGGCAGGGGGGAAGCAGCAAATGCCAGTCGCCCTGTTCCTGGGCGGGTGGCAAGGCAGCTGCCTGAGTACTCGCTCATCACCCACAGTATGTGACAGAGCTGCAGCTGCACCCAGAAGCCCTGAACCTGTCACTGGATGAGCTGCCGCCTGCCCTGCGCCAGGGCAACTTCTCTCTGCCCAACGGCACAGCCCTCCTGCAGCAGCTGGACACGATTGACAATGCAGCCTGCGGCTGGGTCCAGTTCATGTCCAAGGTGGGTGATCATTCCCTGCCCACGGCCAACGGCCGGGCGATCCAGTCCCTGCCCACGGCCGACGGCCGGGCGATCCAGTCCCTGCCCACAGCCAATGGCCGGGTGGGTGATCCAGTGTCTGCTGACGGGCAATTCAGCCCCTGCCACAGCAGAGGGCTGGGTGGCGATCCAGTCCCTGCCCACAGCCAATGGCCGGGCGATCCAGTCCCTGCCCACGGCCGGCGGCCGGGTGATCCAGTCCCTGCCCACAGCCAATGGCCGGGCGATCCAGTCCCTGCCCACGGCCGACGGCCGCGCGATCCAGTCCCTGCCCACAGCCAATGGCTGGGCGATCCAGTCCCTGCCCACAGCCAATGGCTGGGTGGGTGATCCAGTCTCTGCCGACGGGCAATTCAGCCCCTGCCACAGCAGAGGGCTGGGTGGCGATCCAGTCCCTGCCCACGGCCGACGGCCGGGCGATCTGGTCCCTGCCCACGGCCGACGGCCGGGTGGGTGATCCAGTCTCTGCCGACGGGCAGTTCAGCCCCTGCCACAGCAGAGGGCTGGGTGGCGATCCAGTCCCTGCCCACGGCCCACAGCCGGGCGGGTGATGCAGTCCCCTGCCTGAGGCTGACGTCCTATGACGCCCTTCCCCAGGTGAGTGTGGACATCTTCAAGGGCTTTCCTGACGAGGAGAGCATTGTCAACTATACACTCAACCAGGCCTACCAGGACAACGTCACCGTGTTTGCCAGTGAGCAGCCTCCCGCTGTGGTTCCCAACCTCTGCTCCTCCCCCCACCCCAGACCCATTTTCCTGTTGCCTGGTCCCACAGACATCCCGTTACCCATCCATTCCTTGGCCCTTGCCCTGTCTTCCACCTCTGTCCCTTTCTAACTCTACCTTACTCTGGTTGGTGCTCCCAGGCCCTGCTCCGCCCTGGTCTGGTCCCTGTGGCCCTGCCCTGCTCTGGCCTTTTGCTGCTCTGACCCCACGCCCCATTCCCCTCCAATACTTTCCTATTTTCCCAGAGTGCTTCACTGCCCCCCCCAGCCTCACCCCTGCATGGCCCTGCCCAGCCCCTCCTCTGAGCCCGGCAGCCTCCTCTCCCCAGGTGTGATCTTCCAGACACGGAAAGATGGCTCCCTTCCCCCCCATGTGCACTACAAGATCCGGCAGAACTCCAGCTTCACAGAGAAGACCAACGAGATCCGCCGGGCCTACTGGCGGCCGGGGCCCAACACGGGTGGCCGCTTCTACTTCCTCTATGGCTTTGTCTGGATCCAGGGTGAGTGCTGAGCTGCACCCATCTTCCTGGGGGGGAGGGGCCTGGCCAGCCCCTGACAACCCCTGCTCACAGACATGATGGAGCGCGCCATCATCAACACTTTCGTGGGGCATGACGTGGTGGAGCCGGGCAACTACGTGCAGATGTTCCCATACCCCTGCTACACCCGGGATGAGTGAGTGCCCCCCACCTGGCCCCTCAACACCTGCCCCCCCCACCGGGCCCCTCAACACCTGCCCCCCCCACCTGGCCCCTCAACACCTGCCCCCCCC